CTTTTGCAATCAATGCTTCATTCATTGCGTCAATTGTATAGCAATTATTTCTTCTTTGATTGTCTCAATTATTGTTTTTCTTTCAATTGTCAAAACCAAACGATTACATACGTTTTAAAGTTATATTGGTGTCTTAAATCATTTACCCTTTTATTGTCCTAAAACAACCACTGCAATCAATTTTACTTTTGCAATCATTGCGTCAATTGCATATCAATTATTTCTTATTTGATTGTCTCAATTATTGTTTTTCTTTTAATTGTCAAAACCAAAAGATGACATACGTATTAAAGTTGTATTGGTGTCTTTAATTAACTCCTTAAATTGTATCTGTTTCATAGAATTCGATGCTTTTTAATTGTCTCAACTTTTAAAGCAATATTTGCTTTCGTAACTGTTTCAGTTTTGATGAATTGATTACTCATATAATTGTCTGAGTTTTATTGTCTCAGTTTTAAGGTAATAATTATCTAATTGTCTCAATTGCACACAAATCGTGGTGTCTTACTTAACATTGCTCTTTACTTGGTTAGTATGAAAGTAGGATCTGAAGAAATACACCTAGTCAACCAGTTGGGTCAGAGACTCTGGTGGGAATTGAACCAAACTACCGGTGACACTTATATTTATACCATACACCACTATAGTGGGAAGGGTATTATGCGTTTGTGCTGATGTTTGTAACACCAAAAAATATTGGTCCTACACCCACCATAAAGTACACCAATTGGTTCAGAATCACTTCCTGAGTCGATTAAGCTATGTCCGTCCGTCCATCTGTCTGTCTGTCTGTCCGTCTGTCTGTCTGTGTGTCCATGTAAACCTTGTGCGCACTCTACAGGTCGCACTTTTTGAGATAATTTGATGGAAATTTGGAAAGAACTTCTCTTGGTCCAAGGACGAACGCTATTGAAAATGGTTGGAATCGGTCCATTATTTCACCTAGCCCCCATACAACCGAACCCCCCGAATAGGGCTTTTGATCTCATAATTATGTTAAATGATCTACTATCTCTACAAAAATTTGAAAAATTAAGTTTTATATATGTCTTAATAATTATAGTGATTTTCGTAAAGATCAGGCATTATTTGACCCTAGTCCCCATACAAAGTTCCCCTCAGAAAATGACTTGAATGTCCACAATTCACTTATAAACACTAGTATCTCGATGAAATTTGGCACAAATGAGTTTTGTATTGACATAATACCCAAAAAAAATTTTATAGGGATTGGCCCAAGTTGTGCCCTAGCCCCCATATAATCAAATATACTTCTATCTCTCCAAAAATCTGCACAACCAAGTTTGATATAATTATAAAAACACTGTAGATTTTTATAATGATCGGGCATTATTTGACCCTATCCCCCATTAAAATCCCCTTCAGCAAATTACTTTAATGTCCACAATTCACTTATAAACACTAGTATCACGATGAAATTTGCCACAAATAGATTTTATACAAAAATAAATGTCAACATTAAATTTTATAAGGATCGGACCAATTTTTGCCCTAGCCCCCATACAACCGGACCTACCGATTTGGGCCTTTTAGCTCATAACTACGACAAATATACTACAATCTTCCCAAAACTTGGCACAACTAAGTTTGATATAATTATAAATAACACTGTAATTTTTCGCCGTGATCGGAAATAAAAGTAGCCTATTGCCAGATATACAGGAATACGCTGTGAAAATTTTAAGAAAACCTATAAACACACAAACATATAAGCACACAAACATACAAACAAACACACATTCATGTTTATATATGTATATAGATAATTCCCAATAATACATTTTATAAGGATCGGCTCAATTTCTGCCCTAGCCCCCATACATCCGGAACTTCCGATTACGTTCTTTTATCTTTTAACTACTATCTATCCAAAAATCGGCACAATGTGGTGATATTTGTAACACTCAAAAATATTTGTCCTTATTAAGCTATGTCCGTCTTTGTGACAGTGTAAACCTTGTGTGCATGCAACAGATCACAATTTTTAATATAATTTGTTAAAATGGGACACATACTATTCTCTGGATTCAATGACGAAGGCTGTTGAAAATGATTGAAATCGGTCTTTTATTTCTCCTAGTCAGCATACAACCGTACATGAACAGACATTATTTGGAACCTATATAAGATTAACAGTAATGCTTAATTATTGAAATCAATCACATTTAATATTCGCAATTGGTGTAGGGTGTCATATGGTCGGCCACGCCCGACTATAATTTCTTACTTGTTTTAATTATAAAGTAGTTATTACTTTCTTTAGTGTATAAGTTTAAAAGCAATATTATTCTTGCACTTTTAACCGTTCCAGTTTAAAACTAATTGTAAACTGTTGCTCTTGAACTAATACTTTAACCATTTGCTGCTTATGTTTATGACAATCCTTGCAATTTAATTAGTTTCAAAGCTAATATAGCTCTTTCTTCAGTAAGTTATTTTCTTTTTAATTCAGTTTCTTGTAAAAAAAAAATAATATGTTACTTAACTCACAAAATCCTTTTTTACAAATTTTTACAAGCAAATTTATATTAAAGTATCAATTGTTAATATTTAAACAATCCATTTTATATTATTTCAAAAATTTTTATCAGACAACATTCAATATTAACAAACCATTGTAATTTGACAACAGCTTAAAGAATAATAAAATAGGAGAAAATCAAAGTTTTGTACATAAATTCTCTGCTTAATAAATTCCTTAAGGACCTTCAGCGTAAATGTTAAATATTTTATGGACTTTTTTTTTTTTTGTTTCTTGACATTTATTATCTATTCACAAATACACAGTCTTTAAATAATTAGGCTAAATTACCAACTAAAGACACAATTTAAAGAAACTCCTGCTGTTGTGGCTGATGTTGCTATATTGTCACCAGAAGACATATTTCTTGAAATAACATTACTTACTTGTCTCCTGGACAATATTGAAATTTGTTGCCATTGTGTAATTGAATTTTATTTTCTCGTCATAATAAATTGATAGAACAAACAAGAAACCAAAAAATAAACAAAACAAAAAACACCAACAAATAAGTGAAAAAAGTGGCGTAGAGAATGATGAGTTTTTACGTGTGCAAGATTTGTTTGCAGTGATAAAAGATTTCTCCTCAAAATAAAATGGAAAAAAACAACATTTTTAGAAGAGAAATATTGGCAAACAGTCGTAAATAAAATCAAAATGTACTGTGGGTTATGTAGCCGGCATACTTTTATGCGTACGTATAGACTATTATATGTAGGGGAAGAACAAAAAAGAGAAACATAAAAAATAATAAACTACTTAAAATTTCAAACAACATGAAAAACCATAAAATATAATAGAGTTTTCTTTCATTTTTTTATGGCTTAAAAACGTATATAAAAGAGCGACCAGCAGCCTGAAGAATGTTGGTAAACAAAAGGACAAAACGATAAAGATGAAAAACGAAGCTTTGGTTGAAAAGGGGGAGTTTCATAGACAAAAAAATTGAATTAGTTTTTAGCGAAAAAGATTGTAAATATTTTTATTGAAATTCCACGCCTTCTTTTTACGCCTACTTTTTATAGAAAACTCATGTCCAACCAGAATCAATGGTCAACAACACATAGGATATGGAAGATACTATTAAACTCCTAATGGTCTCCACACTTGCTGTAAGCAGTATCATGAAGGAAACGATAATGAGACCCTACAATTATAGAACTTGGTTTTGCAGCTTTTTGTCTAGGTACGAGTATATTAAACATAATTATGAACTTGAAAGCCCTATTCGTCGGGTTCAATTGTATGGGGGCTAGGTGAAATAATGGACAGATCTTAGGCATTTTTAATAGGCTTTGTCCCTGGGGCAATAGAAGATCATGTACCAAATGTCATTGAATTATCTTTAAATCGACTCACTAAAGTGGTGTAGGGTAAAAAAAAGTCGAAACCCAGATACCAAAGTATACTTTTCTAAAGGATTGATCTGCACCGAATTCGAATATGGACTCAAGCTTTAGATTTAGATATCTCAGAGAATGAAGCAGATATAAAAGAGGTTAAACCTTTGTTTTAAAGTCATGAAATGTCATTCTTATGGAAAGACATCTTCTCAGGAAGTACCGATAAGATGTCGAAATATTTAGAATTATGCAATACCTAATTGTTCATGTTTTTTGAGGAATTCTCTCCTAAAGAACAACAAGTTCACCTCTTTCTGCAATTGATGTCTTCGATATGGCTGTGAGTGGAATCTTAAGAATTAACTCTTGAGACTTTGACCATGAACTGTCTCACATCAATCAAATTAATCAAGACCCATACAATAAGAGTGAAATTTTTTAATTCCCTTTCATATCCCAGACGATTCTGGAGTTGTCGAGTTGTTGTATATGTTCTAGTTCATAAGGACATTGAGGGGAAATAAAATTGATTACAAATGTGCAATTAACGGGAAAAAACTATCAGTGGACGAAATTGTTTCAAAAAAAGATATTTATATTTTCCTGTCTGTAGTATAGAATATGATCAAGGAATGGATTACAGAACATATAAAATATTACAACTACAGGATACACATTGTATTTCAAACCTGCATTTCGCAGAACAGGACCTTTTCATTATTAGTTATGACACTACAGTATTGCATGCACCTATAAAGTACTCTGTACGATTTACCAGTTCTACAAGAGAACGGACTAAGAAATATTGGTAGTAGATAGTGTATTTATATGGTGGAGAAGTTTTTTCTTCAGTTACTGTAGATCTGATTCCCTAAGATTAAAAGTTAAGTGCTGTTGAAAAGACTCGTTGTCCAAATTTGTAACACCTTAAGTAAACCATAGACCACATTGCAAACCTATTCAATGCATTTTGCTAAAAGCAGTTTCTAAATTTTCCTACGAAACTGCCCATAATTTAATAACTACAAAAGAAATACATGTTTAAACAAGGTGGTTCTGTGTTTGTATTCGGTATAAATAGAATAGATGTCAGGCATAATACTGATGATACTCACCATTAATCACATGAACCATAACACTGGCACTGCTGGCTGTGGTGGGTTGACAGGTGTAGTTACCAGTATCTGATGTTTGGGCATTCGAAATGCGTAGTCTAAAAATAGTACAATAAAAATGAAAGAATGAAAAAGCAACCAAATTATTTAAAGTCATAAGACAAAGGAAAGCAAACATAAAGAAGAAAAAAAAACAGCAACAAAAGTTGCTAAAACCCAACAAGCAGTGAGTCAAGCTTATTTTATACTTAATCCTCGTTTTTCCAATTTAAAATAAAGTATAAACTTTAAATTTAGAAGTTGATTTGAAAATAAATTACAAAGCAGGCTATGGTCCAAGCAATCTACTGAATAGTCTATGGACTTGTCTGTTGACTAGTCTTTGAACAAGTTTGTGGACTAGCTGTTTACCAGACCAGTTAAGCATAAATAAATTACTAAAATTTTAAAATAAATTGCTGCGATTTGAGATTGAGTTTAATTGCAATTCATTGTAAATCTATGTTTGCTGGGAATTTTTGTAATAAAATTGTGCGTGTATATGTACTCGATTTTATGAGTTTGTACTTTAGACTTTGTCCTTGAGAGTACCCAAAAATTAGAGCAATAGCACAAAAGTTAAAGAGACAAATGTTACATTGCCATAATCTATTTTTACAAAACATACACTAAGATCCTCAGATAGTAACCAGAAGCAGAAACCAAACAAAATTCGAAAATAAAAAAACAACTACAAAAACAACCTCAATAATTTACCTTGATTTCATGGTATCACCCAATTGTGACTCCATAGCAATGCGTTGAGCAAAATCTTGTGTTATTTCGTTTGTTAAGATTTGTGGTATTTGTTCAGAATCTGTAACACCAACAGCAGCAGCACCCCCACCACCATAAATACCATCATGAAGCTGTTGCCTCTGCTGCAAAAGATTTTGTTCCACAACATTAACTTTATTTTGCCCCAACGCAGTGGGTGTAGTAACACGTGACATAGGAAATACTGGCTCTTCGTGTGTATTGTCATTTATATCGAATGGTGTAATCATGTATTCGCCACGATACCAATAGATGGGACCAATATCCTTAACCGACGGCTGGTGTACAATACATGTGAGTATAATGGCACTGCCAACTTTAAAATGTAAATCAGCTGGTCCTGTTATAACAGCCTTAGCATCTGGTGATATCTCTGCAATGACATACATAAAAGTTATTGAATATTATTAGTAAAAGTTGTTGTTGGTTGTGGGTAAAGAAAATTGCTTTAAAAGTAGTTTTATGTTGTTGTTTTATTTTTTATTATTTTTTTTTTTTCTTACAAAAACATTTTGATTTTATTAAAAGTTTTTTTAGATGGAAAAGTTTTTGGTATATAGATTTTTTTTGTATTAATGTGTTGTTTCTAGATAACGAGCGAGTAGTTTGAGCACAAATTTTACTTGTATTTTGTTATTGTAACAAAAACAAAATACAAGTAAAATTTTAACTCAAACTACTCACACGTTATCTAGAAACAACACATAAGACAAATTACAACTAAAATATTTATATGGAATATTTATTAGAATTTTGAATATTTTTGTTATATTAAGAAAAATTAAAAGCGAAATATTTATATGGAATTTCAATAACAATTTGGCAATATGTATATTGTTATTGAAACGTATTTTACAATAACTACAACATATCATTACTTAACTACTTCGGCACTGCAGTATTTTTTAATGTTAAGCGTAAGAAGAAAATATACCATAGTACTGAATTACACAGAGCAATACGAAAAAATATAACCATATACGGACAATAATACATGAAAGTCCAAAAAAGTACCTGTGTCTCCAAGATTTGCCCAAAGTCATGTACTTTTTTTATGGGCCTCCAATAGGCGAAGTTGTAGCTCTTTACATAAAGAACAACAATTGCAAACAAAAACTCCCTTAAAATTTAGTTTTTTTATTTATTTATATATTATTTAAAATGCTTGTCAAAATTAGGTGTATACTCAATATTTTATATCAATAAATAATAAACACGTATACGTATAGGTGTCGTTAATAAAAGTTGTGCAATTTCACAATGTGAAATTTTCCACTTAAAATATATATTTTTTTTTTGACAAGAGCTAATACTTGGTCTCAGAGAGTAAATCAGAATTTCGAACGGTTTGCAAGATATGAGGCTGAGAATCATTCATCATCACTCTTTTGCAAAAATGACACCGAGGCCCTTACAAAAGTACATGACCTTAAGCAAAACTAGAAGAACGAATATCTTTTTTCTTCTTAGTTAGTTAGTTAGTTAGTTAGTTAGTTAGTTAGTTAGTTAGTTAGTTAGTTAGTTAGTTAGTTAGTTAGTTAGTTAGTTAGTTAGTTAGTTAGTTAGTAGTTAGTTAGTTAGTTAGTTAGTAGTAGTTAGTTAGTTAGTTAGTTAGTTAGTTAGTTAGTTAGTTAGTTAGTTAGTTAGTTAGTTAGTTAGTAGTTAGTTAGTTAGTTAGTTAGTTAGTTAGTTAGTTAGTTAGTTAGTTAGTTAGTTAGTTAGTTAGTTAGTTAGTTAGTTAGTTAGTTAGTTAGTTAGTTAGTTAGTTAGTTAGTTAGTTAGTTAGTTAGTTAGTTAGTTAGTTAGTTAGTTAGTTAGTTAGTTAGTTAGTTAGTTAGTTAGTTAGTTAGTTAGTTAGTTAGTTAGTTAGTTAGTTAGTTAGTTAGTTAGTTAGTTAGTTAGTTAGTTAGTTAGTAGTTAGTTAGTTAGTTAGTTAGTTAGTTAGTTAGTTAGTTAGTTAGTAGTTAGTTAGTTAGTTAGTTAGTTAGTTAGTTAGTTAGTTAGTTAGTTAGTTAGTTAGTTAGTTAGTTTAGTTAGTTAGTTAGTTAGTTAGTTAGTTAGTTAGTTAGTTAGTTAGTTAGTTAGTTAGTTAGTTAGTTAGTTAGTTAGTTAGTTAGTTAGTTAGTTAGTTAGTTAGTTAGTTAGTAGTTAGTTAGTTAGTTAGTTAGTTAGTTAGTTAGTTAGTTAGTTAGTTAGTTAGTTAGTTAGTTAGTTAGTTAGTTAGTAGTTAGTTAGTTAGTTAGTTAGTTAGTTAGTTAGTTAGTTAGTTAGTTAGTTAGTTAGTTAGTTAGTTAGTTAGTTAGTTAGTTAGTTAGTTAGTTAGTTAGTTAGTTAGTTAGTTAGTTAGTAGTTAGTTAGTTAGTTAGTTAGTTAGTTAGTTAGTTAGTTAGTTAGTTAGTTAGTTAGTTAGTTAGTTAGTTAGTTAGTTAGTTAGTTAGTTAGTTAGTTAGTTAGTTAGTTAGTTAGTTAGTTAGTTAGTTAGTAGTTAGTTAGTTAGTTAGTTAGTTAGTTAGTTAGTTAGTTAGTTAGTTAGTTAGTTAGTTAGTTAGTTAGTTAGTTAGTTAGTTAGTTAGTTAGTTAGTTAGTTAGTTAGTTAGTTAGTTAGTAGTTAGTTAGTTAGTTAGTTAGTTAGTTAGTTAGTTAGTTAGTTAGTTAGTTAGTTAGTTAGTTAGTTAGTTAGTTAGTTAGTTAGTTAGTTAGTTAGTTAGTTAGTTAGTTAGTTAGTTAGTTAGTTAGTTAGTTAGTAGTTAGTTAGTTAGTTAGTTAGTTAGTTAGTCAGTTAGTGAATTATAGAAAATGATATAACTAAAAATTTAAAATTTTTCTTCATTAAAAACCACTGATACGTAATGATTTTTTAATGATTTGTTTCTTCTTTTTTCAAAATTTCGTTGTTAGCTAAGTTAGCAGTATTAACATTTCTGTTTAAAAATTAAATTTCATACGTGGATTTACATACTCAATTCCTCAATACTAAATCCAAGAAAACAATTTTTGAAATACTTAAATGAAATTAGTGACAAAAGAAAAATTTTAAAGTATCTAAAAATGTGTAATATTCATTAATATATGTATCTCTAAGTCTGCACTTCAACTCAATTATGTTGGTTAGAATTAAATCAATACCTGTTTCATACAATGGTTTCCTAAGTGATAATCTCATTTAAGTTAAAAGTATTTATAAAGTACATACTTTTGAAACACTACATAGATTTGTGGCATAAACAAAAATGTTAAAAAATTATATTCCTTACTGTAAATTTTTACTTTTGAAGGATTTTTTTTAAATCTATTAAAAATATTTATTATTAGCAAGGAAGTTGCTAGGTTGTTATACATTAAGAAGTATTAATTAAAATTGTCATTTTATTAAATCTTTCTCGAGTAGTATTATAAAAACTTTTTAGGGATTTTTTTTTTATTTGTTTTTTAACTATAGAAACCGGTAGGGATATAATTTCAGCATTAACACAGCCTACGCCATTATAAATGTTAAGTATGATTTTCGTTTTAATGTTTTTAAATTAAAACTTTTTTATCTTAAACATACGTTTGTATGTATATTTATGTGTAGCATTCTAAACCACTGCACTTGATGTAATTATCTTTTTGAATTAAATTTATTACTTTAATTTTAGAAAATATTTTTAAAATTAAAAAATTTCTTATATTATTTTTAAACACAAAATTTAATTATAATATAAATAATATGTACTTATATTAGATTTAAAAAAATTATATTAAAAATTTTTAAAATTGATATGTGTTTAATTTAATAACTATGCATACATAATTTTTCTATCAATGATATTTATATGATTGTGGTTTTATTTTTTTAACAATTTATATATACATTAGACCGACTCATAAAAAATGGGGCTTGAGTAATTTTTCACAAAATATATATAGTGCTACTACACAAAAAAATTTGGGTTCAATATTGACCGTTTGTGAGGATCTGGATCGTTTTCGTAAAAATATGGGAATGAGATTGTTATGGAACACTATTTAAAAGGTTTTATGAAACTGCGCTTAACGATGTATAAAGACTGAAGTACATTGCTAAAACGCCTTAAAATCTAAAAGAACACATAATATTTTCTACATCCATACATATAAGCACATATAAAAAGAAAGAGTGTTATATTCGGATATGCCGAATCTTATATATCAATCATTAAATCGCATAGTGTAAAAGGAATGCCCTATTTTATTGCAAAGTCTTAATATCAAACAAACCTTACCTATAGGGAACATATGCTGAAAATTTTAACCCTCTAGTTCTTTTCTTTTGAACTCTATCGTGCTTTCAACAGACAGACGGACAGATGGATGGACAGACAGACAGATAGACGGACGGACACCAGTAAACTAAAAGATTTTTTCCAATATTAAATATTAAAAAATTCTATTTTCTTATAAGAAACTTTAATACTTTGTTTAACTTTAAATTGAAATTGTATTATTCCTAAAAAAAATGATAACAGCAAAAAAGGAAGAAAACGAAATAAAAATATTTTCATTTCTATGAATTGATGTTGAATATTAAGTAATACATTTTAAATAATTTTATTTAAAATAACTGACAACAAAATATTTGGAAAAGAAGAGCATGCAAATCTTTTATTCCTGAAGCATTTTTTAAGTAAAAAAGTGAATTCTGTTGTATGTATATAAATATGCAAAACTATTTGTCCATTTTTTCAAGTTACATACTATGTATAAAATTAAATTTTAACATTATATGGAAATTTTTATATCCAACACACAAATGTTTTTAAACCGACTTGTGCGTATCATTTATTCAGATGCAATTTGTACAAAAAGCAATTAAATGCATTTCTACTAAAATTATTATAGAGTTTTACTTGTGACCATTTTATATTAATAGTATTCATGTTTTTGCAATTACACATAAATGTCATGATAATAAACAATAATTGTCATGGAATCTACTTGACATTGGTCACATTTACCATTTGTAGAAATTATGTGGTGTTGATATTTTGAGAGCGAAAATTACTTACATACCTGTGATTTTCTGAAGAGAACCTTGTACGTACCCATGCTATGAACCGATCGTGAAAAAGTCTTGAATAAAATTTTCGTATACAAAACTAATATTTGTGCCAAATTTTGCATCAATAGCATTATTTGGTAATGAGTAATGTGCGTTTAAGAGATTTTCGTAAAAGGGCCTTGTATGGGAGCTATGACCAATTACGTATATAAAGACAAATTTTTAAAATTCTGTATCTATATCATTATTTGGTAATGAGTATTGAGCTATGACCAAATAAGGACCGATCGTAAAACAATTTTATAGTGTAATGTATGTATATAAGAGCAATATTTTTGCTAAATGTATGGATA